CAGCGATTCGTTATTTTCTTAATTAAAAGCAATCAGAATAAATTGTTGAATAATATGGTTTAAAATGACTTCCTCTTCTTGATAAACCCATTCAATAAAAATGTACTATCGGCGACAGATTGGGGGAGGCTATTCAGCAGTGGACGTCCTGTGGCTGAAATGATGATGATGATGGAATGTATAAATAAATAAATAAATATCCTTGGACATTTTACACTGCGCCTCTAGTCCCAAACTAAGCAAAGCTTGTACTATGGGTACTAGACGACGGGATAAACATACTTAAATACTTTTTTTTTTTTTTTGTAAATACATNGGCATAGTAGTCCGTTCTGAACCACTACACCAAACGGCCGACTATGCCGAGAGGTCCCGGGTTCGAATCCCGGCCGGGCAGAAATTGAAATGATGAATTTTAATTTCTGACATGATGATCGGCGACAGTGTTAACTATCCATTTCTGTTTTTGCTCTCGCTCTCATCAAATGGTGATTCTTTGCGATAGAACGAGACGACAGTCGACATGACCGGCAATGGGTAGTTGCCGATAGTACATGCAGTAGTCATCATCATCATCATCATCATCAGATCATTGAGTCTCCACTGCAGGAGAACGACCCTCTAATTTACCAGAGGCAAATGGAGGATTTGTCCTACACTCCCCACGCTGGCCAGACGGGTTGGGGAGGCCTGATGTTCGTATTTTTGTCCCTTAGTTAATTACAACATTCATGGGAAGAGTATTTAGTTCTTAAAAAATAATTTTAGTATTGCAAGTACCTAGGCTTTTAAAAAGCACTTTTACACGTCCCAGTTGCAAAATACAGAACCCAGTATTAACCCTACCTCTGCTTCTAGTTTATAAATATGTATTACTAATAGTCCCGCTAACCCTTCGTGGTAATTTATTGTGGGCGCTGCAGGCTTAAGGGGGGCGGTAAGAGACCCAGAAAAAAAATCGGGACGTTGTGTAGAGGCTTGGGAGGCGTCATCTACTAGGAGGACTCTTAGACACCGACTGAGCTCGACTATTGACTACAAAAATGGGGGGCGCTAAAAATAATTTATTCTCAAAGTGGGCAGTAGACTAAATAAGTTTATTAGTTAGTAAGTAGCGCTTAATTCAGTCAGTATCTGAGGTGTGGAAGCGGCATGGGAGGGGGTGACATTGACATAATATGACGTGACATACAAATCTGAAGTTTCGCTGACGTTTGCCCGTCTTAAAATCCACCGATCCAAAGAGCTGAGTTACGCTCGTATTCACAAATTAATGTTGCTTGCTTAGGTGAAGCAGCAAATCGAACGCACAGCGTTGAATGATGATGATGATCATGATGACTACTGCATGTACTATCGGCAACTACCCATTACCGGTCATGTCGTCTCGTTCTATCACAAAGAATCACCATTTGATGAGAGCGAGAGCAAAAACAGAAATGGATAGTTAACACTGTGGCCGATGTACACATTTTTATTGAATGGATTTATCAAGAAGAGGAAGTCATTTTAAGCCATATTATTCAACAAATTATTCTGATTGCTTTTAATTAAGAAAATAACGAATCGCTGCATTATCAATGCCGATAAATAATTCCAACAAATACGCCAATTATTTATACTGAAATAAGTAGAGCGTGAATACGGGTGTTACTGGTACTTGTCCCCAGCAGGGTTCGATCCCACAAACACTGTTAGCTTTGTAGTCTGGTACACAAACCACCAGGCTAGTAGGGTTTACATTTTTGACTTACGCCTGTATTCAAAAACGATGCTCGCTTATATGAAGCAGCAAATCGAACGCACAGCATTGAATAGGCTCTGTGATCGGTTCGTGTGTCACCCTTTGCGTCCACGCGCACTGTGAGACCTCATAGTGCTTGTGAATACGGGCGTTAAACTTCAACGGGACCCTCAAACAATAAGTACTTGTTCCTCCACAGTACAATATCAAGTACCCGCCGAGGCGCCGAGGTCATTCACCCTGCGAGCGCGCCGGCCTTGCTTGACTTTTACTTGATATTGTTGCGTTGAAAGGGCTTGCAGGAACTGTGGTCTAGTGGTACGATTCAGACCCAGAGGACTTGGATTCGATTCCCAGTGGGGGCAAAACTTTCTGCTTGGTTCAATATGAAAATAAAAAATAGTTAATTCAATTTTGACCACTAGTGGCACTTATGAACGTCAACATACAGTTAAAAAAACCAGGTAGCCCTTCAGGGGCACTTTACATGTCTCCTTATCTTTTGGCCCTACCAGCGCTTCGAGACAAACATAAGTAAGGCAAGTGCTGAGAAGAAACGCCGGAACAAACTCAGTCACCACTAGTTCCAAGTAATTTATCTAACGGTAAGGATAACCAAATTCAAGTACATCAAATTTATGTGCATAGGTTTACAATAGGTCTGGTTGGTAGTCCCTTGCCTGACGTTTACTTATATAGGGACTGTAGGTTCAAACCTCTGTGGTCTAGTGGTAAGACCAGTGACCACCTGTCTCAGTAACGGAGGTCCTTGGCTCGATTCCCAATAGGGGCAAATTTCCCTGCTTCGTTTGGTTGTTGGCAGGGCTTTGTTCTAAGACCGCCCGGCTTACTACCATAACAACAATGTTAGCATTGTTGTGTTTTGACACTTGGAGGTAATATAGCCAGTTCCTCCAAAGAAATAAGATTCCGTGCTTTGAGTGCCATGCGTCTGGTCTGACAGAGCGACTTTGTTTTACTATGTAGAGACGTGAAAACCTTATCTGACCCAAAAGGGGGTAATTCAGATGTAATTATTACTGATAATGTCTAGAGACCTAAATCATATACAATTGACCTAATCATCATCATCATTTCAGCCATAGGACGTCCACTGCTGAACATAGGCCCCAATGCTTTCCAAGTTGATCGATTGGTAGCGGCCTGCGTCCAGCGCTTCCCTGCTACCTTTACAATATGGTCTTGTACTTACTCACAGCTTTTAAGTTTTTAAGGTTCTTTTAAGTTATTATAGAGCTTTGGACTAGCATATTTCGCTCACTAGTTGAAGTCTGGCTAGTAAAAGGGCCTTACGACAGTGTCGCCATCTGGTGACCGCAAAATACGACTATTTTAAATTTATGTACTCTATGTATGTAGTTTTTATTTCCAAGTATTCGGAACTAACAATAATAGGAAGCGAACGCCATATCACCACATCGGTGCATTGTTCTTACCGTGTGTATGTCCTAGTGATGTGCTGTGGACGTAGAGTACCGATGTCGATAAAAATAATTCTATTGAAACAAAACCGAAATGCTTGTAAGTAAACTAGAGATGTGTGAGTACGCTTCTGACAGCCGATCTGGTGAAGGTCGCGCGAAGTACCTGGATGCGGGCAGCGCATGACCGATCGTTGTTGGAGATCCTTGAGGAAGCCTTTGTAGCAGTGGACGTCATTTGGCTGAAACGAATGAACGAATTTTGAGAAATTAGTGTCGTTATGAAATACTTAGAAGAACACAACTAATATGGTGACAGCCTCACTAAATTCAAGTCGAAACTTATGCCTGTCTTCGGTACAACTTAGGCACCGAACAAAATGAACAATGCTGTGTATACCTGTAATTGAGGTCGTATACGCAATACGTATCATGTGTTAAGACATGTTAAAATGTATGAACTGTATGTGACTTTGTTGGTGTACCTAATAAATAAATAAATAAACATGGCTCAAATTGGGTTAAATGTGGTGTTGCGAAAAACTAACGAAATTGCACTTTGTAACATGTAATGTATTTGTAAGGAGTTTGACTGACTTGACGTTTGTCATAGTTAATTTAAGATGATGCAACTCAGCCTTTACAGTTTAACTTCAACTTTAAACTTTTCTGTTGCGAACTATTATAAATTAACCGTTTTTTAACCGACTTCAAAAAAGGAGGAGGTTCTCAATTCGAGTCGGTGCCGGTAAATATATTTATCTTGGCACCAACTCCAAAAGTATCAATCATTAATTCATCCTAATAAATAAGTAATTAGTAATTATTTTTCTACTTTTCAGTGCATGTTTTTTGTTAAAATTAATTTTATTATTTACTCTTTTGCTCTATAGCATTGAAAAAAAAATTTATCATCATTAGTTCAACTAGTCTCCACTGCAGTAGCACGACCCTCCCTAATTTTCCTATCGATAAGTTTTTCCCATCACTATTCGAACACAAAGCAAGGTCCTACACATTACGACAAATACCTTAAGTACATAAGCTCTTATGTACACAACGACTTATAACACATTCTCTTCGCAATGTATGTCGTATTTCTTGACATATAGAGTCGAAAATGTATATGCCAATGTGTATTTAACTACTTAAAATTCAATGCAATGTTGACTGGCTGAGGTTTTTAAATTATTTCCAAGGATTTTTTCTGTATTGTACGACATATTGGAGGTATTTTAAGAAAATCCTTCAATAGCTCTATACATTAATTTGTGACATGATTTTTTAAGAGGGATGTTAAGTGCTGCCTCACGCAAAAACTACTGGACGGATTTTGATACAACTTTAGAATTTTGTATCATCATCATCATCTCAGTCATAGGACGTCCACTGCTGAACATAGGCCTCCCCAATGCTTTCCATGTTGCCCGGTTGGTAGCGCCTTCCTGCTACCTTTATGATGTCGTCGGTCCACCTTGTGGATGGAGGTCACATGCTGCGTATGTTGTAGTTTAGTGGAAAATCTAGACGCGATTCCTTGGATATTTACGTACCTATCCCTATTTGAGAAACGCTGACTTACGCCCGTATTCACGAACGATACTTGCTTAAGTGAAGCAGCAAATCGAACGCACAACGTTGAATAGAGCTCTGTGATTGGTTCGTGTGTCACCCTGTGCGTCCACGCGCACTGTGAGACCTCATAGTAGTGTTAAATACGGGCGTTGCTTTAGTGCATAGATTTGTTTTATACGCTAGCAATAGTGTGAAAGTATTTTCATTGCATGAACTAACAGATTTTTTCTTTGTTCCAGGTCACTGTAGCACAATGAAGCGAAAACACAGATGGCTGGGAATCAGTATATTGTGTAAGTATCAGTAAAATTTTGTTAGTAACAACGGGATTTCTTGGTGAGAGAGTGAAACGGGATGTTTTTCTTTTGCTTTCTTATAAAAGTGCTTGTCCATACCATAATGTTCCGCAAAACTTTTGTATTCAAGGTTTTTTCGTTCGTTTCGTCTCAGTAAAATATGGCGTGTAAAATTATGACAACGAATAAAATAATGTTCTTAGATCATGTTAACCTATATTTTGGGAAACATGAGTCGTCCCAAACCATCTTTGGATGCTCACTGACAGCAAACAAATCTATATTTCAACCAGTTTTTTTACAGGACCAAAATTAGAAATACCACCGACTCCGACCCATTTTTTTAACCTGACATAATTTGCAATAAGGAAATCCAAAGAAGATTTATTTATGTGTGCCAAAAATGTCAAATTAGAATGCAAGGATTACAAGGTTATTAACGCTACGTAGAGTTAGCATTTTAAAGCTGTGTTCACATTAACCATCATCATCATTTCAGCCACAGCTGAATATAGCCTCCTCCAATAATTTCCACATCGCCCGTTTGGTAGCGGCCTGCATTCAGCGCCTTCCTGCTACCTTTATGAGGTGGTCGGTCCATCTTGTGGGTGGTGGTCTTCACATTACTGAATAGCATTCAAGACATTTATTTAGACTCCACAACAGGAACACGACACTGGTGACTGAGTTTCTTGCGCTGCTTCTTCTCAGCACTGGCCCATTTATTGTCCAGAAGCAGTGGTAGGGTTAATACTGGGACGTGTAAAAGTGCTTTTTAAAAGTCTATTAGCAAAAATAAATGAGTTTTATGAGTTATTTGCAATATAAGGCTTGGTTGCACCATCTTATTTTAACTTTGACAAACGTCTAAAAGCTGTCAAAGTCCATACAAAAACACCGAATTATCGTTAAAGTTAAGATCAAAGATAGGTGGTTTGCAGCCTTAGTGCTAAAATCCGTGCGAAGCCGGAGCGGGTCGCTAGTTGTATATTATAATAAATCATATTGCAAGATTGTTGTTATTTTGAACTTTTCACAAGTTAGCTATTCAGTCATTTATAATCTAGATCCTTGACATTTCACGAGAGATGCGCCGCGGTCTAGACTTGCCTCCTACGCAACAACAAAAGTAACATCCTAATATTAAAATTGGTATTTAGATATTATATCGCAAAACTGACATTTATGGGGTGCTGATTCTATTTTATCATATATCAAACTCATTTATTTTTGCAAATAGACTTTTAGAGTAGGCGCACACCGTTGATTTATAGATGGCCGATAGTTGTGCCCGATTTTAAATTGTATGAAGAATCGGCCAAATCGAATCGGCGTAGTGTGCGCACTCCCATACATGCCCATACTGATCAACTGCCCGACTAAACTATCGGCCGACGAAAAATCAACGGTGTGCGCCTACTCTAAGAGTAGGCGCAAACCGTTGATTCGATTTGGCCGATTCTTCATACAAATTAAAATCGGGCACAACTATCGGCCAACTAAAAATCAACGGTGTTGTGCGCCTACTCTTAAAAATCGCCTTTACACGTCCCAGTATTAACCCTACCACTGCTTCGGGACAATAAATGGGCCAGTGCTGAGAAGAAGCAGCGCAAGAAACTCAGTCACTATTGTCAGCCTCCTTTTCAAGGGTTTAATAGTAATAAGTATCCATAATTGAAATTTATTGGTTTAGATAAGCTATTTTACGTAGCAGGAAGGCGCTGGATGCAGGCCGCTACCAACCGGCCGTTGTGGAAATCATTGGGGGAGGCCTATGTTCAGGAGTGGACGTCCTATGGCTGAGATGATGATGATGAGTAAAAATACATACAAATACTTCATAAAGTAAAATAACTTTTTCATCATGACGTCATTTAGTCTTCACTGCAGGAGTACGACCCTCTCCAATTTACCAGAGGCAAATGGAGGACTTGGACGACACTCCCCACGCTGGTTGAGGAAGCAAATAACTTAAATTTTATGATTCAGTCGTAGATACAATTAAAATGTTAAAATTTTAATCATAAATCTAAATAAAATTGATCTGATTATAAATTGCTTTAGTAAAAAATAAATAATAATTCGAAGGCCGTTTAGTTGACTCCATCTTGCACAATTTATGAGAACAACTAATTTAAAATACCTTCATCTAAAACTTGATAATAAAATTCTAGAATGTTTAAAAAATAATGAAGTAACGTAGATTCTAGTTTTGAACGTGTTACTAATCATTTATTACATAATATAAATTCTAGTTTCAATTGTGGAATATTAAACTCATAATATCTCTATAACCCAACCTGTCTGGTGGACCGACGACATCATAAAGGTAGCAGGGAAGCGCCTGACGCAGGCCGCTACCAATCGATCAACATGGAAAGCATTGGGGGAGGCCTATGTTCAGCAGTGGACGTCCTATGGCTGAAATGATGATTATGATGAATACCCTCTATAAACCTGCCTGGCCAATGGAGTGCAGGCCAAATTCTACACTTGCCTCTAGTAAATAAAAGAAGTCGCCCTTCTGCAGTGGAGTTAGACAACGATAAAATTATTAATAACTAGCTTTCCGCCCGCGGCTTCGCCCGCGTGGACTACATTATATAGTCTATAGTGAACCCGCCTATTTTTTCCAAAATAAAATGTAGCCTATGTTGGTACTCGTGGATAATGTAGCTTTCGAATAGAGAAAGATTTTTTAAAAACAGTCCAGTAGTTTTTGAGCCTATTCATTACAACCAACCAAACAAAGTTTTCATCTTTATAATATTAGTGTAGACAAAGCTATCAAAGACATTTTTAATCAGGGTACGACGCCCAAAGTAAAAAAAAACTAAGTTTTTTTTTGCAAAAAGACAACAGACAAACTAATATCAGGGTAATACCGAAATGCATTATCCTTATTTTGTTTTAAGAAGTCTCGAGTTTTATTTGAGTTATCCTTAAAACTCGAGTGCTGATGACCTTTGTGGTTAACACAATTAAGGCTCTGGCCGTAACCAAACCTGGACAAATTCCCCCTTATTACAAAAGGCTAGACTCTGGCTGGTTTAAATTGACTTTTAGTATGGAATGTTCATTTAGGTTATGATAGGAGTATTCCCACCTCTCGTTCCCACCGCTGCAACTCCTGTGTAGCCAGGATCTACAGCTTGACCGCCAATAACAACCCAACCAGTGAAGGTCCTTTTTTCATTGACATTGCTGATAGCCGAGAATGGCTTTCTAAGCTTCACCGAGCAATATAGATCGTTTCATCCACGAAGACGCGCCCCACCATTCTTCCGCTAATGTTTGAGTGTTATCGGTACACGCTAAATCATCCATGAGTGCACACGCATATAATAATGACGCTCGGATTGCTCGGATCAAACTCATCGCACCCCGTGCGACCTCGACTAAAATTTGCGTGCGTCTTCGTGGATAAAATGATCTATACCAGTGAAGGTCAAGTTTGTCCCATTATGGACTTTTTTTTATCCACAACGAGGAAGCTCTTGGCCTGTATCTGACCTGATGGTAAGTGAAGGTGGAAGCGAGCTTCACCCGGAATCCTCAACCACGGAGGAACTGGCTATCTTACCTCTAACTGCCGGAACACAACAATGCTGTTAACATTGTTGTTATGGCGACAGACTTAGGTAAGACTGAAGACTAATTGTCTCTCTTTCGACTTCCAGGTGTAGCAGTCTTTGTGCTGCCCGAGTTACCGACGTCGTCCGCCGTCAGAGCCACGTCGCTCATCTTCTCCAAGACCACCAGCACCACGGCTGCGCCTGAGGAGCTGCCCACTGGCGATGAAGATGGACCTCAGGTAAATATAGCGTTTTATGGTACCAAAATAGTATTCATTCAGTACCTATATACAGGGTGAATCATTGACATCGTCGTGGAGAATACGAGCCTATACCATTATCATGAGTAGAGTCTTATTTTAGAAGGATGCCAACGATTTCAATTTCAACCTGTATAACCGTGACCAGAGCACCAGAGAGCGCGTTATGACTACAGAAAATCTGTGGAAAGGAACACACCTACCCGAACTCACGTTCGATGTTACTTTTTATCGAAATGACAAATTATTATTGATGTACAAGAGGTTCTCCATTACTTTAATTAGGTGACAAATAGCCCAACAGCGTAGGTGTCGGACTGACCGAAGAGCGCTGGTTCGAAGGTTCGAACCATGCAGTTGTTGGTCTATTGTGGTTAACCCACTCGTAACACAAGCTTATACAGGGTGTCCCAGCATGGGTGAATCAAACTGCTAGGGGAGGTAGCTCTACTAATGTACTATCCCTAAAAATATGAGAAAAAAAAATTAAGCGCATAAGGACACAAAAATTTTTTTTTTTGTTCAAGTGAAAATAAATCAGCTTTGCCTAAGTATCTGGCTATAATTGCTGCGTTTGGAGTTTATTTGTACTTTTTTCTTACTAATATTAATTGTACATGATCGCTTCGTTTATCTGTAAACAAACTTTTGAAAATAATGACCAGATTTCACTTTATTAAAAAAAAATCCGAACTCAAAATTTTTTTTTCATATTTTTTAGGGATAGTTCATTAGTAGAGCTACCTCCCCTATCAGTTTGATTCACCCATTATGGGACACCCTGTATATCTAAGTACAAGGGGCTAAACAGAATAGCTTATTGTAGGACTCGTGATAGCGTATTAAGCTAAACTTGCACTTAGTTATTATTGTCGCGAAGCTTTAGTAAGTTGTACTTCAGTGAACTGCTCCTGAATCAAATGTACCTACTACTGCTTTTTTATTTATTTATAACCGGCAGACAGTGGTGACTGAGTTTGTTGCGGCGCTTCTTCTCAGCACTTGCCAAATGTTGGTCTCGAAGCGCTGGTAGGGTAAAAAGATTATGAGACATTTAGAGGCTCCTTAAGAGCAAAATATTTGACGATTTGTCAGAACTATTTAACAGTCTAATACAAATAAAGAAATTTTGACTTTGACTTTGTAATGATGGCTTTTTAGGCGAAACGTGTAAATAAGCTTTTATAACCATCTTACATAATATCATATTTTATTGATAAATAAATTAGGGATAAATAAACCTTTTAATGAAATCAACGCCTGCCGCTGATTTAAAATTTTTAACTGAGATTATAAAGAATGCGCTTTAAACCACTTTAAACGTCAACGAGGAAATGAAAATAAAAGTAAACCACCTTGATAATCTCACATCCTAGTTAACAGCTGTCGTTTACTTCCTTGAATAATAAGTTCGTGGAGGTACTCATTCATTAGGTATTAAATCACTATCACTTTATTATTCTGCTATATTTATCGACATGTCATTTTAAGCATTTATACTCGAAAATGGGCCTATTTAAGACCCTTAGGTCATATTGTACTTTGCTCTAATTCAGTCAAAAGAACGCTAAAACAAAGCGATGCCAGAGTAACAACTGTCACGTTTATAACTTTGTCTAGGGAGGCAGGTGGTAAGGCCTGTATGTAAGGCTGTTGCACCAATTAGTCTAAGGATGTTTGGACTAAATAAAAATATTTTTCTTTCTTTCTTTCTTTCAATTTACTAACCCTAACTATAGCATTAACCGGTGTTTTTGTATGGAGTTTGAAAGATTTTTGACGTTTGTTAAAGTTAAAAAAAGATGGTCCAACCCAACCTAAATGTTTATTTGCAGCATTTAAAATATTCAACAATAAAACGGGGCTATTCCCACCTATCGTTCCCACCGCCAGGATCTACAGCTTGACTGCCAAAACCCAACCAGTGAAAATCAAGTTTGTCCTAATTCAACGATATAATAAAAATGAATTATTTTCCTTTCCAGACCGAGACCACAGCGGAGGGGGGTGAAGCACCAACAAACGGCACCAAAAAGCTGTCCGGCATCCCCCAAATCGACTACATCTACGACCCCAATCTCCCCCGGGAACTAAACGGGTACAATCTGTCTGGGTACCCCTTCTACGAGACCGTGCCTCCCCCAGAGATGATTGATTTCAAGTGTGATGGTCTCCACGATGGGTTTTACGCGTCAGTCCCCCATAAGTGTCAGGTGAGTGCAAAATTAATTCATCATCATCATTTCAGCCATAGGACGTCCACTGCTGAACATAGGCCTCCCCCAATGACTTCCACATCGCACGGTTGGTAGCGGCCTCCATCAAGCGCCTTCCTGCTACCTTTATCAGGTCGTTGGACCTCCTCGTTTTAGCTGAATGACGTCCACTGCTGAACATAGAACATATTTACACAATGACCGGTACTATGTTGCCGCAAGGTGCTTCCCGCAACCTTCATCAGATCGTCGGTCCATCTAGACAAGATGGTCCCATGATCCCATCACTCTTTGTTGACTTGACAATGGTTCCAACTAGTGAGCACCCTCTTACCGAAACCTTCAAGATACAACTTCTTTGCCATGAAAAGATAAATAACACCTTTTTTGTGATTTTAAGTTGCTCGCACTCTGCATAACTTTCGATCAACTTGTAACGTTGTTTTCATATGTATCAATGCATGCTGTTTGTTTCCTTAATAAAGAAAAATAAAAAATAATTACTTTCGAGTTTTTTTTTGCTGGTATTTTATTTTTACCAGGATCAATGTTTTTTTTAATTGGATGTTAAGTTATGTTACTTTTACTGAGTTTTGAGAGATTGTAATAGTTTCTCGCAATTTTCTACGAGCAAACTGAAAAAGACATTGATGAAATAATATTGTGGGCAGGCCTCCTACTAGGTGGACCGACGATCTGGTAAAGGTCGCGGGAAGAGCCTGGATGCGGGCAGCGCAGGACCGTTCATTGTGGAAAACCTTGGGGGAGGCCTTTGTCCAGCAGTGGACGTCACTTGGCTGAAACGAACGAACGAAATAATATTACTTTAACTTTATTTCTTTATCATTTTCCAGGTGTACCACCACTGCTTGTTCGGCACCCGCTACGACTTCCTGTGCGCGAACTACACAGCCTTCGATCAGAAGACCTTCATCTGCCACTTCGTGTCGGAAGTCGACTGCAAGAACTCGCCGAATTACTTCAACAGGTTGGTCTTTTTCAATAGGCTAGTTGCCTAAAAAAACTTTTTTAGTCCGTAATGTTTAATATCAAAAAATATTGGACACATATAATTTTATTTGTCAATCTAACAAATAATTACATAGTTATGGTGCGTTGAAGTTGCGCACGACGTCACAACCTGCGGCATTTTTAAGCAAGCGTTGACGTCACGGGCCTCTTCTTATGAACTTTGGGGCGCTATATCTCTTTAAATTTTCATTAGTTTGAAAAAGTGAAAAATACGTGTAAAGTATTTTTTGATAAGTTAACTGACGGACTAATTAAAACTCTTGCTTTTTGACCCAGGCAACATCCCCATTATTTTGTAAAAATTAAGACAAACCCCCTTATTAATAAAAAGTTACACATAGGATGAACACTGGGTTGAAATGACATTTCCATACTAAATGACAATTTAAGCCAGAGTTCAACTAGGGTGTAACTTTTATTAATAAGGGTATGGGTATTATTTAAAAGACGTCATAAAGAAAAGAAAGTCTACTACCACCTTATGCGTTGCCCTTTGCAATAGAACCCAACTCAGCTTGAGACGGGAATTGAACCTACGACCTTTTTCTCTTCATAGCTCTCTGTTAAGTTTTAAAATTAGTTTGAGAAAAGTTTAGTAAGTATCGTGCTAAGCAAAAATCCTATAACTTTAGGGGATATACGGGAAAATAGACGTTCGATTTTTCGACACAAATAAAGGTCACAAATAAAATGCTCTGTGTTGAACGACTGACTGATGTATCAACACACAGCCTAAACCGCTGATCGTAGAGACCAAAAACTTGGAGGTTGTGTTCTTTTTATAACGTAGTGTTACACCNATAACAGTAGGCATCCGATATGAAAGGATTTTCCAAAATTCTACCCCTAAGGGGGTGAAAAAGGAGGAAAAAACTTTGTATGGGACAACGTGATTTCTAGGTCCAATCTACTTACATACATTCATTTCTATTAAATTGAAATAAATATGAAATTCTTCAAAAAATATCCCGCATCTTTTTGTAACTGTTCCTCTGTGGTAGTCTGCCCTCACTAATCATCAAACCCATCCTTCCAGGAACGAGGCACTCTACAAGCAGACTGAGACAACGACCCCGGCACCCCCACCGCCACCCTCGACCACAACCACCACCACCACCCCCCGCCCCCCTCGCCCGGGCCGCCGGCGTCCCCACCCCAGATACGATTACTATGATGATGACTACTACTACGGGAGGGATGACTACGAGTATGATGATAGGTAAGTGTACCTTATGAATAAAAGGCACGGTAGGTGACAGTTTTTTCTTCGTCTTAGCAACAGCCCATGTTGTCCCGAAATGGTGGCAGGGCAAGCTATATTTGTGAGGTGCCCTGAAAAGGGCCTAGATGCTAATAAAGATTTTGTTTTATCCACAACGAGGAAGCTCTTGGCCTGTATCTCACCTGATGGTAATTTCTGTTGTTCTTGTTTTAACTTTTTCAACTTTTAGAACCACTGCTCGAAACAAAGACTTCTGTCTTTACTAGACAGACTGTAAAGGTATTTTCAGCGTGAATATGAGCCATAAAGAGACTGACCAAAAGCGAGTTAGGCTCTCTCACAAGAGATTTTATTCTGGGCCATTATGCTACATTTAATTCCATTCATTCATTTTACTAATCTTTAATTGTGAACTATTGTTTTTACGTGACATTCTAAAAGACAGCGAAGGACTCAATTAATAGAGACTCGTTTGTCCTTATCAGAATGTTCAATAGTTGAATATATTGTTGTTCTTTTTTTCCAGGGTAAGAAGACCAAGGCCGCGTCCCCAGGGCAGACCGGCGAAGAGACCGAGACCACAGGATGATTATGAAGATGACAGGTTTGTATTGATTTCATGTATTTGTTTTGCCTTCTAGTAATTAGACAGTGTGAATCAAAACGGTATTTAGGCAGGCTTCTCGCTCGGTAAACCGACGATTGCGGCCAAACGAGGTTAATTTCACGGGAAGCACTTGACTGGTCGTTGAGAAAATCCTTGGGGGAGACCTTTGTCCAGCTGCAGACGTCCTTTGGCTGAAATGATGATGACGATAACCAATTTTAGGATTTTCTTATACTAAATCGATTGGACTTTCCACAAACTACCAATAAGGTGCCAGATTTATTCACGCACTTCAACTGGTATTACTTTTCCTTCCAGATACGAGCGTCCACGCCCAAGACCTCGCGACGAACTAGAAGAAGATTACGATGACCGAAGACCCTACGATAGAAGACCAGGCAAAAGACCGTACGATAGAAGACCGTACGACGACGATGAGGAGAGAAGACCAGCTGGCGGCAGGAGGAGGCCGGGAAGGCCTCGGGATGAAGAAGAAGACAGGTACAGAGCTGATGATGAAGACAGACCTAGAGGTGGGGCCAATTTGAGGCCTAAGAGGCCTAGAGATGAGTACAGGCCACGAGATGAGGTCAGACCACGAGATGAGAAAAGGCCCAGGGATGAGGTAAGGCCAAAAGATGAAGTTAGACCAAGGGATGAAATAAGGCCAAGGGACGAAATACGGCCCAGGGATGAAATAAGGCCAAGGGATGAAGTTAGGCCACGGGATGAAATTAAACCACGAGACGAAATTAGACCTCGGGATGAAGTAAGACCACGAGACGAAGTAAGGCCACGTGATGAAATAAGGCCACACGAAGAAATAAGGCCACGCGAAGAAATAAGGCCACGTGACGAAGTAAGGCCAAGAGATGAAAAGCGCTCTCGAGACGAACCTAGACTCAGAGACGACGCTAGACTTAGGCCCAGTGAAAGACGGCCTTTAAGAGATGATCCAGTCATCGCAGAAAACAAACGTGAAAACACTAGGCCTAGAGACGACAGGTACTCGGCTAACGAAGGCCGCAGGTACAAAGAGGACAGGCCTTACAGAAATAGAGATGAGAGGCCTTATTCAAGACCTGAGAGAAATTACGATGATGACCGAGATGACAAAAGAGAATTGCCCACCGCTCCGGAAAACCCAGGATTAGTTAAACCAAACGGCCACGGAATTTTTAGCAAGCCAAGAATGCCCCCAAAAATCAAACGACCAGTGCCAGCAAATGAAAAAGGAAAATATGAATACGTAACCGTATCCACCACGAAGGCTCCTCCTAAAGTTGATGATGATGAGTACTATGATGATTATGAAGATGATGAAACAAGCAAACCTTCGTCATCTGGGAAGACTAGTACGATCCAACAAAGGCCTAAGCCAGAACCGGTTGAGAAGGAAAAATTTAAGCCATCGCGTCCGCATTTCACCAGCCCATCAGCCAACTATAAAGAAAGGCAAACTAAAAAACCCGTGATCTACGATGATGATGATGATTATTATGATACTCAATGGAATAAACGCAGGCCTCAAAGACCATACAAAAAGGAAACAAAACCAAAAGATATAGACGACTATTACTACGATTACGATGAAACGAATGACAAAAAAGTAGTTGCGAAGGAAGAAGACATAACACACCGAATCAAAGACGTGAAGCCAAACGTCAAAGTTGTAAAGCGTCCTTTTTTACCGTCTAGGGGTGGAAGTCCCTACTTACCTAGGGGCTTACAGCCTGTCGCTGGCAAAGACATGACTGCTCCTCTTCACACCACCCCTAAACCTACCACCACTACTACTACAACGACCACGACCACTACTCCTGAACCTACTACTACCAGAACCACTACCACTACAAGAATAACAACCACAACTAGACCTACAACTACTAGACTAACTACCACAACAAAACCGACTACTACAACAAGGCTAAGTACGACCATAACAACAGAGCCTACAACTACCCAACATCTAACGGCTCCTGATGATGAATATGAATACTATGACGAAGAAGACATAGAGTACGAGGTAAATAACAAAAAAGAACCCTCTACCTCACTGCCAGAAGTCAAAACGCAGTATGCTGAAATAAAAACCCAAGAGCCAGACACTAAAACTTACGAACCTACTTACGATGAAGAAGTAGAATCAAATGCACCTGAAATAGAAACGTTTACACCAGTTATAGAGCCAGAAATCAAAACGCATTCGCCAGAAATCAAAACGCACCGGCCAGAGGTAAGAACTCAGGTGCCAGAATTCAAAACTCATCTGCCGGAGATCAAAACTCATTTACCAGAAGTGAAAACCCATCTGCCAGAGATCAAAACGATAGCACCTGAAATCAAAACACACACGCCAGAGTTGAAAACTAACAGGCCAGAAACTACCACAGCCGATGTGGCAGATTTCAAAGAACAGAGAGCCAAGCTAGCTAAAAACGTTCTAAGGGTGTACAACGATAACTATGAAGCTATCAGAGAGAAACTAGAATCGACTCTCTCTCCTGGCGACTACATAAAACCTTATCTAGGCACTCAAGCAATACCCTTGAAGAACGAGCCCAAATACACAGTCACCGACGCTCCTTACCGACCTAAAATAGAGCCTAAACCGGAGATTTCAAAGCCTTATACCGCTACAGGAAAGCCTTTGAAGTTGCCTGAGAATATATCAATAAAACAAAACCTAGCGGACTCTATAGAAAACGACTACGATGTTAGGCTGAATGAAGCGATAGCTCCAATCCTTCCTAACGTCAACATTCGGGTGCCAAGCGGATTTGTAGTCCCTAACGACAGGGATTACACGTTTTCCAGGTTCAGGAATAATTATCATCCAGAACCGCAGTACGCAGCCTCAGATATATCTAGCTTCCAGATAAGAAAACGCCCCCAAGTATCGGGGGTCAGTATTCGCACCCCTAACTCATATTACCTACACCCCCAGAGAGTTGTGAGCTACCAAGATGAGGTACAAAGATATCCTAGACAACTCATTTATAGGCAAGTAGGTGATTTCTTTTAAAATGTGATTTTCAATAGCCTTTCATTATATTACATGAAAACCTGTAAGAGTATATTTCTATGGAAAATCCTTGATTTCTTTAGGATTTTGATTGGCAGTTTTTATTCTTAATTTTTCGGTCTTTGTACTTATACGTTAGTTATTATATTATTTTATATAAAATATGTACATAATATTATGAGTATTCCATTTAATGTGATTATTATTATGATCAAATTAAACAACTTTAGATAGTAGTTCCTTGCGCTGCTAAAAGATGGCGTTGTATGCTCATTACATCACGATAACGTAGCTTATTATTATTTTAAACTTAAGTCATAAGTTTTATCAATCCTATCAATCAAATTCATGATATACCTTACAGGTTTTTGTAAAAAAAACTAGGTACTAAATAAGTACATTAATTTTAGTCATTCGAAAGTGGAAATTCGTTGTAAATTATTATTTAATGTCCAAAATTTAAGACAAAGAATGTATAAATTATGAGTCGGTTTATTTATGTTAGTGTGACGTAATTATTTATTAATATAAAAAAATCACGTACAGGAATATTAAAACATAATTACAGGTAAAGTAAGATATTTTATATTTCAGTTAGATTTACGCGTCTGCTATAAAGAAACTAGCCTTCTAAATCTATTTCACCTTTAATTTATGAAAGCTGTAAATTATAAAATGAAAAAGTACAGTGATATAAACTTTCAGACACTGTATTTCACTAGGTTATATATCAAATATAAATTCTTTAAAAATAAATACAAGAAAAGTCACACTAACTAGCAACTCTTTACACATTGTATTATTGTGTTTTCTTTATTGATTCGTCACAATTTCACTGCCAATATATTTATAAGAAGAAATGTGTTACGATCAGAATACTCTAAGTTACCCGTATTTTTAAGATATTTTCCAAAAAACACCTTTATGTATTGTCAATTTATTTTTATATATTTACAATCATTGTGTTTGAATTCGTTAGTATAATTTAAATTATACAACAGTTACATAATTATTTGTATAAGGTGTATAATATAAAAGTAGAGCTAATTCACTCGTATATGTATGTATTGTGTTGATTTTTATATAAATATAATACATTAAATTAGTTTCTAATTGACAATACATCTAGGAGTGAAATGTACATTTTTATACTGAACAATTGTGTAAACTTTACGTAAAGATGTTATGTAAGGAGATTTTTAAATACAAGAAAAAATAAATGTTGTCTGACTTTTTATTTTTACCTCTTTTCCGAAAGAAAATAAAACACTGCAATATAATTATTTCATTTATTCTACCTATTAACGTATAAAACCATTTTCGTACCGTAACTTATAGTATATTCTACACAATGATATTGAAGAACTACTTATACACGTAAAGTTAAGTAAATTGAAGACATAAAGATATTAAGTAACTATTTACAACACGAAATTTTCATTGATCAATTGAAAATAATTTATATTTGAGCAAAAAATATTATTATAATTATTAATTGTATAATTATTTATTTTTTATTTTGGATGGAAGTATACAAATTAAAGTGACTGGCATGTATTTTTCAATAAATATAACAATATTGGATACATAATTCATTTCTTTGGCTTGCAAGATGGCTAAGAAGGCATTTTTGTTTTAGAAATGATATTTACAATTGAAATAAGTCGAGTTTGTAAAAGAAAAACAAGTACATTCTCTAATATTAAAAACAATAAATGCAAATACTAAAGTTCTTCAAAGCATTATTTACAGCAGTTTTTGTTTAACTAAAGTGTCCCAATATAGTATCACTCATATTTTGTTGTAATATAAAATGGATAAAAATATAATTTTAGAAAGTAATATATTTTTTATATTAACTATACTATTTTAATTTTTTTACTTGTTTATTCACTATGAAAACAATCAAGAAAATTATCATAATTTCAAATGCATAGTGAAATTTATAAAATAGGAAAGTTACCTACTGCAGAGGCACGGAAAAGTAATGTTTAGTAGTACAAGACCATAGAACACAGGCAAAAGAACTGATTTCTCAATTTTTTACTAATATAAAAACATACTCGTTGTTCTCTTAAATACTATCAACCAACATTTTAATTTAATTTGACACACAACGCGAGATGAGTAACTCAGCAAAACTTTTTGCATTAACTAAGTAACTCTAGTGCAGCTTCATTATAAGAAGTGAGTTAACTCACCCGCCACAGTAAGCTTAGTTGGCGCAATTATTGCGCCCTAGCGCAGTGTCACCTATTTCTAAAGTCATTGCTGCACGTGATAGCCTTAATAAAATACCAACTACGACTGTAAAATTTGAGGCTGCGGTCTCCTAAAACATTGTAAGCTGCGTACAACATCACGTCTTAGGCCGCGTCACGATGCTTACTATAGAAATGTGCTGTTGTGGTCTTTCAGATGTTAACGTCGGCGACACTGTAGGCGACGTTCAGTGTGCCTACCATGAGTTTACGTTAGGTGAGCTCGCTAGCGAATACGTCAAAAAATTCTATGAAGATTTTATTTCTTGAAAGTAGCCGCTAGGGGCGCTGCACAATATGTCATACATTTAAATGTCATTTTTTTACGCAGTCGCTAGCGAGCACACCTAACGTAAACTCATGGTAGGCACACAGATGTCGATAGGAATGTTTGAGGCTGACGTCAGAAGCCGTATATAGGATGTTAGGTAAATGGGTATATGAGCCGACATTAGCCCATGTTAACATGGGCATATTAATGGTATGGTGAAGTCAAAAATTTGATATCATCATTATAATTTTTTAAATTTTCATACAAAATAAATTTTATAAAATCCAATTTGTATGAAAATTAAGATAATTAAAACGAAGATATCAATTTTTTGACTTCACCATACCATTTATATGCCCACTAGCTTTCCGCCCGCGGCTTCGCCCGCGTGGAATTTTGTCTGTCACAGAAAAACTTTATCGCGCGCGTCCCTGTTTCAAAAACCGGGATAAAAACTATCCTATGTTCTTTCCCGGGACTCAAACTATCTCTATGCCAAATTTCATCAAAATCGGTTGCGAGGTTTAAGCGGGAAAGCGTAACAGACAGACAGACAGACAGACAGAGTTACTTTCGCATTTATAATATTAGTTGGGAAGTTGGGATGTTAACATGGGCTAGTGTCGGCTCATATACCCATTTACCTAACAGGGTATAGTGTTTAGAAGACCGTAGCCTTTGGAAACATTAACTTTGCACCGCTACGTCAGTATACGAGTATCAGAGGCTCAAAACATTAAACTTTCTCTTAAAAGTCAATGACACATTTTTGCGACACTACGAGACAATCCTCGTCACAATCCTGCCATAAGCTACCTTTTGAACTATTACATCACAGGTTTATCACATTCATTTCATAACCTAGAGTTCTCGAACTTCTCTCTCAGCGATCTGTATTTTAGACTCCAATTATCAGATGAAAAAGGCGCATCCATCGTATCTAGATTATTCTGCATAGCTGCTATCTCGAAATTCTTAGCTACACCGTTTCCTTTCTTTTCGAAGACGGTCTCTTCAACAGGCTCGGGAACTTTTTCTAACTGGGGTTCTTTTTCCACTCTTTCGATGACGGTCTTCTCTGGTTCGGGCTCAGAGCCGTGGATGAGACGGTTGATAGGGAATTGCATGTAATAGAAGACGTAACTGGACGCCCAGATGAGTAGCTGGTACATGCAGACCTGCCACCAGGTCATGATGCCGAAGACGTTGTATAACCAGCGGTTTGCGAAGAAGAAGATGGAGTAGTACCTGGAAATGATGATGAAACGTTAATAAGCATTAGAGTTCTCCAAGAGTAGAGACTAATTAATGACCTGATGATGATCATTTTATTTTATTTTATTTTATTTATTAGGACAACCAACAAGACAAACACGCATACAAGGAATTACTATAACTAAAAGTGCTTAGTAGAACTAAGTGTTGTCTTAATTAAAGGCTGCCACGGCATGCAATGTGGACAGTTGCATAAAAAGTAACAAATAGAAACACATCATGACGTCATGATGGAATCCTTGAGAGACTAAATGAACTATTAGAGTTGCGCCTTGATGCACGTTAGGCCTCATTATTATACGCAGACAAAGATATATTCAATTCCAATTAAATAATAGTTTGCAGGCCCAATAGCGTATTAGACGATGTGGCGGACGAAACCACCTTTGTCAGCCTTTGAAAACGGATTAATATTCTTAAGATATGTGCATGTAAGATACACTTATTTAGCTTGGCAGATTAACGCCCATATTCACAAACGATGCTTGCTTAAGTGAAGCAGCAAATCGAACGCACAGCCACATTGAATAGAGTTCTGTGATTGGTGCGTTTGTCACACTGTGCGTCCACGCGCACTGTAAGACACTCATAATGCACTCATAATTTTTCTTTAAAGTGTCCTTTCAATAGAATTATTACTTATCGAATAGATACTCACACAACAGCATACCCCACGTTTACAAAGGTGGTAAGGATCAGCTCCAGCTTCAAGTTGACCGGTTTCCTTCTAGCCTGGAGGAGGGTCTCGATCAGCACCACGATGCTGATGTTTGTATGGACGCAGTGGTTGAACCACCAGGGCACGATGCTGTCGTAGACTTTAGGGAAGACCAGCTCCCGGTCTATCCAGTATACACTCCAGAACATTAGGGAGACGAACTGGAATAGAACAGAAAAGTAAACGTAAGTAAGTAAGTAAGTGAATAAATGAATATGAAATGAATAATTAAAAACGCGCTAAAATGCGCGATTCCTATACGGCGTTCGAACTCATGAAATAACGAATCGCAATGATGGATCGCAGTTGCAAAATCGACGATCTTGCATTGGCGCAATTTCGATTCTTCCGATGAATTTCGTTAGTTGAACCTTTTATTTTTCTTGAAGAACCATCAGCTTTTACTTCAGTTATTAGGTAGGTATATTATTTTTACTGACTGACTGAGTTTGTTGCGGCGCTTCTTCTCAGCACTTGCCAAATGTTGGTCTCGAAGCGCTGGTAGGGTAAAAAGATTATGAGACATGTAGAGGCTCCTTAAGAGCAAAATGACGATTTGTAAGAACTATTTATTAGTCCAAACAAATAAAGAAATTTTGACTTTGACTTTGACTTTATGCATAACAAGGCAGTTATTTGACCACAATCGCACCTGATGTTAAGTGGGATGCAGTCTAGGATGGTACATATCTGCTCTGTAAGTGCCTATTCACTCTCGCCTTGAAAATGCCCGGATTATAGTCTTCGGGAAAGACAACAGCATATCCTGCCCCCCTAGACATTCTAGACAAAGAAACATGTGATAGTTGTAACTCGGAAATCGTTTCTCTCTGGTGCTTTTTTGTAGTAGTAGGTAGTAACTTCGCTTCGTATCTTAGCATTGTACTCTACGTAGATATCCCAACTAATATTATAAATGCGAAAGTAACTCTGTCTGTCTGTCTGTCTGTCTGTCTGTTACGCTTTCCCGCTTAAACCTCGCAACCGATTTTGATGAAATTTGGCATAGAGATAGTTTGAGTCCCGGGAAAGAACATAGGATAGTTTTTATCCCGGTTTTTGAAACAGGGACGCGCGCGATAAAGTTTTTCTGTGACAGACAAAATTCCACGCGGGCGAAGCCGCGGGCGGAAAGCTAGTACTTCATATAGGAGTTCCAGAAGTAAGAATGAGAGGAGAGATAGTCTAGTATAGTCCTCATTAATTCCCACTTAGACTAGTCCTTCATAACATACAAATAACTCACCAAAGTATAAGGCACGACCAGCGAAGTGAACACGATGTCCCTCCAGTAGGCGATCTTCTTAGCTCGCGGCACTTCGTGCAAGCTCAGCCATTCGCAGATGTCGTATGTGAGGGACAGGAACAGGAACACGGTTTGGAACGACTGGAACAAAGGAAAAAAATACATTAATAAGAATACAGTCAAGCCTTGTGGTGACGGCAGAGTAGAAAACATTCGTCACCAACCCCTACTCTTTCCGCGGGTGTCTTAAGAGGCGACTTAGGGACTACACATCAAACAGAGAACCGGCAGCAGCGCTCTCTGAAAACATCAATATTTTAACTGCGATCTCCAACCCGCCTGCCAAGCGTGGGGATCATGGCAAAATCCTCCACTATAGAGGAGGCTGAGTCCAGCAGAGTACTGTAAAGGGTTCTTGATGAAGATGATGATGATGATGAATACAGCCAATGGCAGTCCACTGCTGCACATTAGCTTCTAATAAAGAGCGCCATTTTCCTGTTTTTTTGCCATGCTACGTTTGGCGTTTTTTTGCGGTATGGTCTTGTCCCTTCTGTATGCTATTTTAAAGGTAGAATTATAGACTGGAACATTTACTTGTAACAGAACATCGAGACGCTATATAAAATGGTCTAGTGCCAGTATCAGTGTCACCGTTTCACGAACCAAACGTCGTACATTTTACCTGTATTTTACCATTCGTAAGACTATTGTGAATGTGAAATACATTATATCAAGTTTAAGATTGATTTTATTATTTAAATTCTCTATTTATTAGAACTAGTAGTTTTATAATACAGTTAAAACATTATTTATTAGGTTACGACATTCGATAACATAAACAGAAAATGGGCTTATAACGAGCTGCTCATTATTTCATAGATAGTCGACCTAATTTTAGTTTAATTACAAATCTAGACTAGAAACTTCTGATATAAAGCGTTTTGCAACAATTTACGAAGATTAGTTACTACATATTTTGAATTGACATTATTTACCTACTTACTTTATCTATATTTATAAAAGCGAAAGGTCACTAACTGACTGACTCACTCATCATGAAATCTCAGAAACTACAAGTGTTAGGAGTCTCTTTGTATGGGGATTCCTTTTAGAACGTAGGTGCTGCTCGTAAGACGGGATTTTGCAAAAATCAACCCCTAACCCGTTTTACCCGGGTTCCACGCGTAAGAAATCGCGGGCGGCCGCTAGTTTGTTATAATAATATTAACGTTCGACAGTTCTCGTATTTCTCATTCCAAATAGATGTTTTAATTTTGAAGCAAACGTATTATTTTAATGATTGGATTAGTCAAGTGTGCTGCCGATTCGAGGGTCGGTAGTTCGACCCTCGTCGTCCGCGCTGATCTATTAGGATGACCGCCAATAAAAACCCAAGCACGGGACTATTCCCACCTCTTGTTCACACCACTGCAACACCTGTGTAGCCAGGATCTACAGCTTGACCGCCAATAAAAACCCAACCAGTGAAGTCAAGTTTATCCGGGGAAAGATAACTGTCATTGGACCCGCAATGAAATTAATCAGAAGAACATAGGATGACTTCGAAGTTGTATAAAGAGTTTTATCTCAAAACGAAGAGGATCTTTAGAATAAGGTTGCTTCGTTCCAAGATAAAAAAGTATTAATTAACTAATTACCAGATCACGCTGTAGGTAAGCGGGTTTATCAATGATATATTCTTCGGAATGTCGGATCCTTGTCCGAGAGGTTATCTCTAGTTGACACATCACACCACTATACTGATTAGTGGCCGATTCAATTAATTAACTTAATTAAACTGGATTCCAGCGATTATAAGACAAGCACCTTATTTAAGATCCTTTTTCGGGGCATTAAACTTTTATGCAAATAACCTATGACTTTCACAAATAGTTGAAGTAGGTACATCGACCGACATAACTACTGTTTCAGACGCAGAGGACCCGGGTTCGATTCCCAGTGAGGGCAGATTTTTTTGTTTGGTTTGGTTGGTGGTAGGGCTTGTTCTAAGTCAGCCTGGCTAGCTACCACCATCTTACCTAAGTCTGTCGCCATAACAACAATGTTAACAGTATTGTTGTGTTCCGGCAGTTAGAGGTAAGATAGCCAGTTCCTCCGTGGTTGAGGATTCCGGGTGAAGCTCGCTTCCACCTTCGGGCTGATCGTCACTTACCATCAGGTGAGATACAGGCCAAGAGTTGTGCCAAGAGCTTCCTCGTTGTGGATAAAAAAAATCTACATACATAAACTAAGAGCAAGTGAACGTTAGACCTACGTCATTTTATAAAAGCTGAAAGTTTGTCCTAATATACCTACTTAAGAATGTTGAAGTTTGTCATCGTGGCTTTGGCAGTTACCCTCAAGAGAGTTGAAACTGTTAAAACTGTCTGGCTGATGAGGAAACAATTTCTAATCATTGCCCAAATACTTACTATACATAAAAATCAGCTTTTATGGTACAACTTAAGTAGAATTACAACTTAAGTAAAAGTTAGGCTCGCATTATATAACACTAGCTTTCTACCCGCGGCGCGGCTTCGCCCCCGTGGAATTTTGTCTGTCACAGAAAAACTTTATCGCGCGTATCCCTGTTTCAAAAACCGGGATAAAAACTATCCTATGTCCTTTCCCGGGACTCAAACTATCTCTATGCCAAATTTCATCAAAATCGGTTCTGTGGTTTAAGCGTGAAAGAGAGACAGACAGACAGACAGAGTTACTTTCGCATTTATAATATTAGTATAGATACATGATAGTAAATACATGATGTAATAAATTCGTGTTGCAGCCCGGTAACAAAAACTACCACTTATCAGTACCGTTCATTGATAAATTAATTAAAAACATGCAAACAATGTAAGTTTATTTAATGGATAATAATGCAGGTATTTGACCGCAATCGCATCTGTTGTTATGTAAGATATGGCAAGATGCAGTCTAGGGATTACCTGCTGCTCTCTTCCATCAGAAAAACACATAAAATACCTACCTATATCTAAATATATATAACTCAAAGGTGACTGACTGACTGACATAGTGATCTATCAACGCACAGCCCAAACCACTGGACGGATCGGGCTGAAATTTGGCATGTAGGTAGACGTTATGACGTAGGCATCCGCTAAGAAAGGATTTTACGAAACTCCACCCCTAAGGGGGCGTCCATAAATTACGTGAGACAATTTTGGCAATTTTTCAACCCCCCCGCCCCCCTTGGTGAGATTTGGTGAGATTTTGCCTGACCCCCTCCCCCACCCCCCTAATCTCACGTGATATTTAATAAATGCCTATTTTGCAACGTCTATGCTTCGAGTCTATTAGATTTATATGAAAAAATCAGTAACCCAGTGTCGTGCCACGCGCAGTGCAGGGTTCCGTAGCTTCCCGTCGTTTAGTAAGACAAGCAATTGCTTCAACCTAGGACCAGTTTTTTTATTCATAGTTAAAATAACTAATTGTTAAATTTTGCTACTAATGGTTAAATATTAATAAAATGTAAACTAATAAGTAGTTAAAAAAATGTACTAAAAGTCAAGTTAAACATTGTTATAAAAACATTTTTTTCTGTTATTTAACCACTTGTCATTTGACATCTGTCAAATTTGACTATTGGTTACTTTAACTACGAATACATATTATTTTCATACGTATGTAGGTAATGTCATTTTTTAGGGTTCCGTAGTCCTGACAAGGGGAGCTGTAATTTTGTGAAGGTATGTGTATTAATCACGCCGACAAAACGGTAAAATAAAATTTTGAAAAAAAAAAAATTATGGGGTTGCTCTCCTGCATGTAAAGTGGGGATGAATTTTTTCAAGGAAAACTACAACGGTTAAGATACATTACTTAGTTTAAGAGTAATAGTCATTTGACTCATGTTTTACACAATTTCTTAACCAGTGAAAATTCCTTAGAAGAAAATATGAAAAGTGACTTTAGTTAAATGAAGTAATTGCTTGCTTCTGAAATATATTGTGGTAAAGACAGACAACTACGGAACCCTACACTGCGCGTGGCACGACACGCACTTGGCCAATTTTTTACGCAATAGCGATGCCGATGACGTTTTTTTAATTTCGTATTTTCTTAATTTCGACATTTATTCTGCATCTTTAGTGTTCACAAATGCGGATTAGACGGTTTGGAATAAATTGTCATTATCATCATAAAAAAATCATTTTTTTTTACTTCAATAACCCAGTTTTCTGGCAATTTTACGCTATTTCTTGCGAGAAAAAAATTACGTGATATTTTCCGAGACCCCCCCTCTCCCCCACGTGAGATTTAGTGAGGTTTTCGTTGACCCCCTCCCCCCCCTAAAAGTCTCACGTAATTTATGGACGCCCCCTAAGGGGGTAAAACGGGATCCACGCGTACGAAGTCGCGGGCGGCCGCTAGTTATAAACATAAAGTAAGTAAGTACTTACTACTCTAGCTTCGCCCACGTCAAATTTAGTTTATTATAGAAAAACTTCATCACGCTCGTCCCTGCTTCAAAAATCGGGCTGAAAACTATCCTATGTCCTTTCCTGGAACTCAAACTAGCTGTATACCAAATTTCATCAAAATCCATTCAGTGGTTTAGGCGTGACAGACGAAATTACTTTCGCATTTATAATATTAGTATGGATTAGTAGGGAAGAATCATTCCACTTCCAGTCCACCACACACATGTAACCCAGCGTGAGACGTCCACAAGGTGGACCGACGACATCGTAAAGGTAGCAGGAAGGCGCTGGATGCAGGCCGCTACCAACCGGGCAACAGAAAGCATTGGGGGAGGCCTACGTTCAGCAGTGGACGTCCTATGGCTGAGATGATGATGATGATGTGACCCTTACAGAACTCGAACCCCAGACCTCTAAACCAGGGCCCAACACACGTGGTCTATTCTTGCCCCATTATGGGCTTATCAGTAGGTCACTGGCCGTACAAAGTGCACAAAACAAATTATCATCACGTGCCGATAACTAGAGATGCAAAGCTATTTTATATCGATAAAAAAATGTCGGTAAAAATACCGGCATTTTTTTTATTTTCGATATTTTTATGGAAAAAACATTATACCTACTCGCAGTTTTTAAAGAAATACACTAAACATGGTCTCGAAAGTCAATACTCAATAGCTTTTTCCAAAC